TTTAAGGTACTGTGCCATCCTCTGGTATTTATAGTGAAATAAAGGTTTTTTTCCTTTGTTTTACCCTCTGCAAGGTTCTGATTCTTTCAGAGGATGTTTATGTATTTTTTTAGCCAGCTACATTCTTTCAAACATGTTCTTCTCCCCACTCCAGCCAATCTGACCCTTTTCCCCCTTTGTTCTCCCTGTGATGTGTGATTTGCCTCTGAACCATTTCTGGCATTATCAGCTCCAGAATGACAGCACTGGCTCTCTGCCTGCTTGCCCCAGAGCCTGCAGAGCAAACATTAGTGAGTGATGATACCTCAAAGTGACCTGGTAAGGTCTAATTTTAACATGTAATGACAATGTTTAAAGTAAATGCATAGAGGTTAGGGGGGAAAAGAGCTTACAGCTGATAATAAAAAGTAATGGAAAATTAAAGTGAGAATGCAAAATGCTTGATTAACCTTCTTAAAATGTTGTAAACACCAGAACGCTTCTCTTTGGCCACTAGCCAAGAGGTTCCATATAATAGAGAGGGATTTATCTTCTACACACAAATGGTCAGTTGCTAAAAACCTGAGGCGCTTTAAGATGGCTCTTTCCCACACTGGCAATTTCAAAGACATCACAAAAACCCCAGTGTTTAATCAGCTTTAACTTGCACCATCCTTGGGGATCAGCTCCAGGCACAAAACGAAGCTGTTCAGTCATTTCCAGTTCTGTCCACCACACCTTTCAGGATCTTTCCTCCTGCCTAAGAGGTCCTAGGGAAATTCTCTACCTCATTTACTCACTCTACACTCAGCCCTCCACTGGGTGACATGAAAAAATCTGGACAGGAGTGGGACCAGCAGTTACTGTAATGGCTATGTCGCTGGACCCCCATGTAGTTGACCGCAGTTCAAGTCCCGGACCCAGTGGCTTAAACTCACGCTGGGCGCATGTGCGTGCGTGCCCAAGATCTAGAGAGGAGAAAGGAGGAGAAGGGATTGCAGTGTGGCCATAGCCCCTGGGGGGTGATTTCTCGCTTTCTGTCTCTCTCTGTCTTTCTGGCGAGCGCATACACCCTACTGGGCCGACCGTATGCCCAAAAGCCAAAAAACCCTAAAAAAAAAAAAAAAAAAAAAAGTCTGGACGGGGTGCTGGCAGGTGGTGTGGTGGTTAAAGGAGCTGGACTCCCGTAAGGCCAACTGCGGTTCAAGTCTGGACCTGGGGGCTTGGTTTCTCACTTTCTCTCTCTCTCATTCTCTCTCTCTATCTCTATCTCTCTCTTGATCTCACTCTCACTCTGTCCCTCTCTGGTCAAATTAAAATAAGTAAATTAGTGAATTTAATTTAATTTAAAAATAAATAATTCTTAAAAAAAAAATAAAAGAAAAAGAAAGGAGACCAGCAGGTGGTGTGATGGTTAAGGCGCTGGATATTTCCATATGGCGGACCGGGGTTCAAGTCCTGAATCTGGTGGTTTGCTTTCTCACTTCCTCTCTCATTCTCACCCTCTGTCTCTCTCTGGTCAAATTAAAAGAAAAAAAAAAAAAAGAAAGAAAGAAAAGAAAAAAAGAGAGAAATTTGGATAGGGACCAGCAGTGGGTGGTATAATGGTTATGTTGCTGGACTCCCATGTAGTTGAATGTGGTTTGAGACCTGACCCGGCAGCTTGAAAATCACACGGGCACATGTGCGTGAACGCCCAAAATCCCAAGAGGAGAATAGAGGAGAGGGAATTGTAGCGTGGACGTTCCCCCAGGGGTGATTTCTCACTTTCTGTCTCTCAGTCTCTCTATATCTCTCTCTGTCTCTCCAGCAAGCACATGTGCCCTATAGCAAAAATCTCTCTTTAAAAAAATTCTAGATAAACTAATTTATAGTAGGATACATGTCTAAGTAAGTAATGCCATCTGATGACTGTATTTAACTCTAATAATAACCCTGCAAGATCCACCTTCATCCTGCTCTTATAGATGAAGAAACTGCATTATGAAAGAGTTAATTCACTAGGGGCTGGCAGGTGGCATGGTAGTTCAGGGCACTGGACTCCCACATGGCCGACCACAGATCAAGTCCCAGACCTGGTGGCTTGTTTTCTCTCTCTCTCTTTCACTCATTCTGTCCCTCTATGGTCAAATTAAAATAAAGTAATTAATTAAATAAAGTTTAAAAAAAAAGAGTTAATTCACTCGCCTTGTCTGTGGTCATACATACTGGTAGGGGTAGACTTTAATTAGGATCACTCCCCCAACTTTAAATCCAGCATTCCTTCTCCGATACCACTCTGCATCTCATGGAATTAATATGTGACCCCTTCCAGGGAGTATGTCTATTTTAAAAGAGGAAGAGGAAAAGCCCTAAGCCCTGAGAATGAATCTCTAAATGGTAGAATTTCAGGTAGTAATGATGACCGATGGTAGAGTTGTTTGTTTTTTGGGGTTTTTTTGAGAGATTTTCACTGTAGGGCGCGTGCGCTCGCCAGACAGACAGAGACATAGAGACAGAAAGTGAGAAATCACCCCCCAGGGGGGATGGTCACGCCACATTCCCTTCTCCTCCATTCTCCTCTCGGGATCTTGGGCACGCACGCACACGCACCCGGCGTGAGTTTTAAGCCACCGGGTCTGGGACACGAACCGCGGTCGACTACGTGGGAGTCTAGCGACATAGCCATTATGCTAACTGCTGGTTCCCTGTTTTTTGTTTTTTTAATAAGGACCTATCTGGTGACTTTTTCCCTCTCCTAGATGCCTATATACTGCTGTGGTCATAAGTTTCTTCTCCAATTTTTCCTGCATTTATACACTTCTGACTTATTTTTCAACTTGTATAATTTCTGAGATCTTTGCTCCCAGTTAGTTCTTAATGTCTAAAAATGCATAAATTACAATTCTTGCTCAAAAACTAGATTGATTTTTGGTTACCATGATATTTTCTGGATAACATTCTCTCTTATAGCTTTTATCAAGTGGGAAAAAAAATTTCAACGGAAAAAAAATCACCCGGAAAACCATCTCTCCTGTTTGCCTCTTTATATAGGGCCCCACCTACCAAGATCTCTCCTCATATATTAAATTTCCATTTTCAGCCTCACCTATCTTATCTGATATGAAAAACTTTACACAGAGCAGTATCTCCTCCATGATCTTCTATCCACCTGTGTAGATTTGTGTCTATGTGGGTATGAAACTCATTCCACTAATGAAGTGGCTGATTTGCAAACCCAGTTCAAATCCAAGACCTACAGCAGTGTGTGGCACAGGGCAGAAGCTCATATACCTCTGCTGAGCACATGCACCAAGTAATTATTTCCGTCTAATCAGCACCTTCACAGTAGTCCTCTCTTCACCACTTGCACTGTGAACACTTCAGATGCATAAAAGCGTGGAGTTTCTTTGCAAATGTAGCTAACAAGCTCTCTGAAGAAGAAGCAGATATGTGCAGCCTTCCAACAGTCTATAAAGACAAAGATGCTACAGACAAGACTTTTGTCCATAGGTCCACAAAGAATGTTTGCACTGAAGCTAAACTACACATAAGGTTACACGGCCCCTTTCTGCAGACCCACAATCTACATTCTCTTCACCACAATCCCAGGATAGGTGTGGTGCAGGGCCCTTGGGGAAGTGCAGTCATCCCTATAGGTTCAGTGGTCACCTGCATTTGGAATTTTCCTAGGAATAAATGGAGCCCCTTCATTAAAGAAAATATGATCTTTGGCATGCGTAGATCTCAAGTGAATAGGTAGCTTAGGCTAATCTCTTACCAGAAAATGGAAACAACTATTCCAGTTTGGAATACAGGGATGTGTGTCCAAGGTGTTCAACAAAATGAGTTAATATTCGATGCATACAACCCTATCTGCAAAACTACTAAAGCTGCCATGCACCATGAGGTTCACTGACTTTGCAGATGGTGATACAATTGATACTCAGCACCAGTGTGACCCAACTTAGTCACTAAGCTGTGAGGTCCTATTGGCTCCCTGCCCCACATAACCCTTCTCTACACACAGCTAATGAGGCCTGTCTTCCACCCACAACCAGCCCCAAACCAGGAGCTACAGGATATGAGCTGTATTTTACCTAGAATAAAACTGAGGGCCAGAGACGCTCAGTGCCATGTCTCAAATCAAGGAGTTTTAGAAACCACATGTCCAGATTTCCAATTAGAAATAACCAAGGGTGGGGATCAGCAGATGGCATAATGGTTATGTCACTGGACTCCCATGTAGTTGACTGTGGTTGGAGCCCAGACCTGGTGGTTTATTTAAACCTCACACTGGATGTGTGGGCGTGTGTACCCAAAATCCCAAGAGAAGAATGGAGGAGAAGGGATTGTGGCATGGCCATCCCTCTGGAGGGTGACTTACTTGCTTTCTGTCTCTCTGGCGACCACACATGCCCTGTAGCAAAAATCTCTCTCAAAAAAAGAAAGAAAGAAAGAAAGAAAGAAAGAAAGAAAGAAAGAAAGAGAGAGAGAGAGAGAGAGAGAGAAAGAAAGAGAGAGAGAGAGAAGAGAGGGAGGGAAGGAGAGAGAGAGGAAGGAAGGAAGGAAGGAAGGAAGGAAGGAAGGAAGGAAGGAAGGAAACAAGCAACAAAGCAAACAAACCATCAAGGATGTATGGGTTGTTGAGGGGACTTGATTCCAAACACTAATCTTTTGCTATAGTGGAGGAGACAAATACAAACCTGTGCATATACAGTAAGATCTCAAATGTAATGAAAAATGACATAGGGGGGGAAAAAAAGGACAAAAGAATGAGAAACAAATCTGAAAGGAAATATTCCAACATGTTAACAGGGTTTATGACCAGAGGAAAGTATTATGGATGGTTTTACATTTTTTCTTAAGAGTGTCTGTATTTTCCAAATTTTATGCAATAAACATACTAATTATACAATATACAAAGAGAGAATAAATGTTATAAGATATTCAACTTTGCTGATACCCATAGTATTTGCATTTTGGAGAGCCTCAGAAATGGTAAAGCTGAAAAAAATCGGAACTTAGGACAGCATACTCACCCACCAACTGTGGGAGAGAAGCGGCCTCCCGGTCAAGCATGATGGATCCCTTCTCCATACACGTCCTCAGCTCAAACAAGCTGTGAAGGGACAATGTGGCCACATGGGGCTTGCTCCATCTCTCTCCACCCTGCTCCACTTTTTCTTCAAACTTAATCCACCTACAAAAATGAGATTAGTGAAGAGCAATTAAAACTGTTCCAACCTCCTCTGAAAATAGCAATGTCAACCCTTTCATCTCCACCCCTACCAGCACTCCCCAAAATGTCTCTTTTCGTGGAGTGTTAATAGCTCATTATATCATTAACTACATTATCTTTATAAATATACCCAAACAGAGTCACTAGACCACCCCTAAAGTAAAAGAGAAAAAAAGGCAAACTGAAAGAAGTCAAAGCATCCTTGGTTTCATATCTGTCTATACAGAACCTTAAGAATGATTAACTAAATGTTGTAAAATAAGGCAGAGGAGCCAGCAGGTAACATAGTGGTCAAGGCCCACATGGCTCACTCTAGTTTGAATCCCAGACCTGGAGGCCTGAAACTCATGTCAGGTAGCTGTGCATGCATACCCAAAATCCCAAGAGAAGAATGGAGGAGAAGGGATGGCGGTGTGACCATCCTCCCTGGGGGGTGATTTCTCGCTTTCTGTCTCTCTCTCTGTCTCTCTGGCAAGCACACATGTCCTATAGTAAAAATCTCTCTCTAAAATATAAATAAATAAAAATAAAATAAAATAAGGTAGAAGAAAATAAGCATTTCAAAATTTTCCATGTGAGAAAATCCTATTGTTCATAAAAATAACCACTATTGTGAGGATTCTGCTGTGACTTTACACAGTAAGTATATATAAATAATGTGAAATATCAGTGATGAACCAATAATAATCGCAAATATATTAAACATATGATGTGTGAAGTGGTAAGATAAATGTAAAATTCTCCTTGTTGATTCCAAGAAGGCCAGCACTTTTTTTTTTCTTTTTTTTTTTTGGAGAAGTTTTTTGCTATAGGGCGCATGCGCTCGCCAGACAGACAGAGAGAGACAGAGAGACAGAAAGCAAGAAATCACCCCTCAGGGGGGATGGCCATGCCGCAATCCCTTCTCCTCCATTTCCCACTCCGGATCTTGGGCACGCACACACACGTGCGCCCGGCGTGAGTTTAAGCCACCGGGTCCGGGACTTGAACCGCAGTTGACTACGTGGGAGTCCAGCGACATAGCCATTATGCTAACTGCTGGTTCCCCGAAGGCCAGCGCTTCTTGCTATGTCTTAACTTTAATACATGTGTCTCTGCTGACATGAGTTCCACTCTTGCTGAAAGCTTTACTCTTCAAGTCTGGTTCCACATATGTTTAAAAATACGCAAGCTCAGTGCACAACAGATTTATTACAAAAATAATAGATCTCCTATTAATCTTAGCAATGGAATAAAAACTTCCTCTCATAGCTTCTGCTATCTACGACACCTAGACATTTCAGTAACTTAGCAATATATACTGATAAAGCTTAATGGAAATAAGAGCCAAACACATTTTGCCAGCATTTATATCCCATGTTTACACAGAGACTCGTCTACACAGCTAAAGAAAAACAGCAAAGCATCGTCACTTCACTTTTCACCATGATACAAACAAAAACACTTTTTTCTCTCACCTCAAACCTTCTGAAAAATATTGAAAAAGATAAAGAGGAAGTTAAAAATTGTTTTTCTACATTTTTCAACCCAAGGTTTAATGATTGAAAAATGTTTTCCTAGGAAAAGCTAACCACTCACCTAAGTCCCTGAAAAAGAGAACAAAGGACAGAGATCAGAGGAAGTTCTACATAAGGTATTATTTATAGACTTCTTACCACCCCTGGTGAGGGGGGAGGGAATGCATTAGTAGAATCAGGAGTGAAAATAGATCAAGAGATCAGCCATGATGTCAAAGAAAATTTAGGATTTAAATCAAGCCCAACATTCCTGATTCCAAAGTATTTTAGTCATATCCAAAGACTTTCTCTCCACACTTTTCTCCAAAACCTCTCACAACCGGGTAGTTTCTACATTTTAATGGCAATATTATTTCCAACCTCATCCTCAATTCTAAAACTTCCCTTCTTCTGTCTCTTGTACATCCCATCCTAAGCATAAGGAGTGGAGATTTTAATACATTTCCCTCACAAGTTAAGAAGCCAGCAACACTACAGAGATTTTAAAACTTCTGAACTAGTCAAGACACATTCCAAATGAAAATGAAAGGCTCCTAGTAGTCTTGTGTGTGTACATGTGTGTCTGTGATTAAATTAATATTTCTTCATTTTGTGTAGAATTAGAGCCAGAAAAACAGAAAGGAGTGAAAGAAAAATGACACTTTCAGGGGATTGTATGGGTTTAACCAAAACAGTAAAAGGTGATAAGGCAACTGAGGTTAGTTCAAGAATAACCATTTCATGGATTATATTACCTTAGTTCACTTAAGGTATATCATCTTTTCATGTCTGCTCAAAGAATCACTAACTAGTTTCTTGGTAATTGGTGTATGAATCATATTTATATCTGCTGTTACAATTTATTGCCTTAGATAAGACCCTAGAAGGCAGAAGAATCTACAGTATATGAAATGAAGTCAGGGTTATGTAGAATTCTGTCATCTATACAGAGAGTAGTGACTTCTTTTTATTCCTAGGAGTATTGTAATTAGCTGAGAGATCAAAATCTTTGGTCATAGTATGAACACCTAAGATAAATGTCAAGGGCCATCTGGAAACTCAGGAAGGAGATGTGCTCTATATAGTCTTCATTTCAGTTATCTTTCCTAAATGGTTCGTCTCTTTTATAAGTTTCTAACAACTTACAATATATTGCCAAACCTATTCCTTAAAAGAAAGCCAAACTCACTTCTATATGCTATGTGACAGCCATCATCTTTGCTACGGACTGAATGTGTCTCCACAAATTTCTTACGTTGAAATCCTAATCCCAAAGGCAATGGCATTAGCTGGTCGAGGCTTTGAAAGGTGATTAGGTGACGTGAGTGATTGGATCACAGGATTAGTGTCCTTACAAAAAGGGCCAGACAACTAGCTGGTCCCTTCCACCATGTGAGGCTGCATTCTAAAAGACTGATCTGTGAGAAAGTGGACCCTTACCAGGCACCAGACCTGCTGGTGCCCTGATCTTAGACTTCCTAGGCTGCAGAACAGGGAATGGATTTCTATCATTCATAAGCTACCCAGTCTGAGAAATTTTGTTACAACAACCCGAAAAGGCTAGACAATCCTCAACCATACAAACAATGTAAGTTTAATACAATTTTCATTACAGAGACCAGCAGTAGTCAACTGCGGTTCGATTCCTGGACCGGTGGCTTAAACTCATGCCAGGCGCATGTGCATGCGTACCCAAGATCCCGAGAGGAGAATGGAGGAGAAGGGATTGCAGCGTGGCCATCCCCCCGGGAGGTGATTTCTCACTTTCTGTCTCTCTCTGTCTTTCTGGCGAGCACGCGCACCCTGTAGCAAAAAACCTTTCCCCCAAAAAAGAAAATTTTCATTACGAAAAAAAGAAAAACATTGCAACCCTTCGTGACCTATCTTTTGTTTACTCTTCTCCATAGTTTATATCTTAGGCAACCTGACTGGACTTAAATATTACTTTGAACATGTTTTAAAAGGAAATTTAGAAATCATAAATCACAACTGGGTTGGATTTAAGGAAAAGCATTACTCGCCCTCTTGGATTACATACACCATCCCTCTAGGTCAAGATTTAACCAGAAGGGAATGAAAATATAAAGTCTCAAAACTAGTCAGTTCTTTAGAATCTGTGTGCCTACAAGGGTAAGTATTATCTCATAGATCGGTTTAGCATCTATTTCACTCTGAGTTCAGTAAGTATTGAATGTTGTGATGATGTCATATTATAACATAGCTAACAGCGGAAGGGAAACTTTGGAATGATGCCTATTAAATTCCTTTAGCATGGATTGTTCTACTTGTTCAAGAAACCGATTATACCTACAACATATGCATTTAGGCAGAAAATAGTGATTTGCCCATTGAAACAGATTGCTCTCAGGGAGTTTCATTCCAGAAACAATTCACTCTAGGTCTATGTTTCTCACATATCAAGGACAAACTCGGGGAAAAAAAAAAATAAACTGAACATTACTCAATTCAAATCAGAACCCATTAAAGAAAAGGCTAAGGCAAAGGTATCAAAGTTCAGCCTACCCAAGTGTCAATGACTCTGTAAAGGTACTTTAGAACCATGTAATTACGTTTCTCAAAACACAGACATTTTTACTGGAGAGTGTACTAAAAGTCACTATCTACCCTTCATAATAACTATAAATAACCATATATTTGCCATAAGTTTCCTACATTTCCTTTCGTGTAGGTATTGGACATTTTATGGGAAAAGCGATTTAAAAGTTGCAATTACAAAACTTGTAACCTTGGAGGAGAAGTTTATTAGGTGAAGTTTATTTATCTCAAGGTCCTAGGAAAATAATGATAAAGTACTTTGCAGTTTAACACACTTTGAGTGACTGCCAACTAAACAGCATTTCACTCATTTGTTGAAACAGAAGGTCTACTGGGATTCACTGAATTTTGCAACTTTCCAATCATATGATTAAATATAATTAAGAAAAGACAAGACCTCTAACTTAAAAATATGCCAGCTTTACAGTGGAAAATAGACATGACCTTTGCACTAGAATTTAATCCAACTACGTAAAACTATTGAAATGATAATAAATTTCTTGCTAAAAACTACCTCATCACACCTAAAAGGAGCCAATAATAGTGTGTGCCTTGGACAAATAATGTTTTTAAGGAGAATTCTTAAATTTCCAGATCCACTAAGAAAAATTATTGCATATAATTACATAGACAGATATAATTACATAGATGATTAAATTCTTTGAGTCTTTTTCCTACAGAAAAAAATAAACCTAGTCTGAAATGGAATTCTCCAAAGTAATCCAGTAGAGAAGAGAGAGAGAAATCGTGTAGATTGGGAAGAGTGGTCTCTCTCCAAGCCCACACTGTTAGTGTTTCTCTTGGTATTTTATGCCCTTGTCCTGAAATCAGGTTCTCCAGAGGTGGGGCAGGGCAGGGCAATCTGTCTAGCAGAATCACAAACAGGCACATATTTATGCTGTTCAATTG